TATATATAAAGGGGGGAAATTTTATTAAGGAAGAAAGACCAAGTACAAACCAAGAGGAAAAATCAAACTATTTTCAACAATCTACTACCATTAACCCAAAAGAGATCCAACCCCCAATCCACGAACCAGCTATCTTTAACCAACCACCTGTTACGTCTAGAGGCCCAACTCCAAGCTTGTATGTGATAAAAGCACCTTTGAATGATCGTTTCTTTAGTCGGGGTTGATCCATTGTAAATGGCTTGATTCCTTGCTTTCCAGAGATGCCACGAGATGACTCCCGGCAGGACTAATCTAAGGATACCCTTAAATGAAGATGACTCAGCACTGAACCACCAAGTGAGGAAGATTTGATTAAGTCGCAGTTCTAAGGACGGTTTGGTGCATCAATGAGGGCTGCGAAATAACTCCATGCGTGCAAGCTGAGGGAACAGGAGGCTAGCGTATGATCCAAGGTTTCTTCATTGGATTTGCACAGGGGGCACCTACTTGGAAGATTGGCCGAGAACCTTGTAGCAAGGTCTGGAAAGGGAAGACAGCCCATGAACGCTTTCCATTGAAAGATTCTGAGCTTGAGGGTTTGAGCCGAATACCAAATATATTTGCAAGAGAGCCTAGAAGGGAGTCCATCACCAATAGAGATAAGCACATTCTTAAAGGAGAAGGGTTTCCCGTTCCAGAGAGGAGGGTTGGGACTTCCGATGTAATAACTAAGGGCCAGCGCATGTACCCTACAGATCCTCTTCCACGTTGGGGAGTCCGTAAGCTTCTCCTTAATGTCGCCTTTCTTCATATAAATGCCCCTAATGAGAGAAGCCCACACACCGTTATCATGGTTAACCCTCCACCAAAGGTTTATTGAATGGAGAAGCTGCATCTTCCGCAAGTCATTAATGCCCAAACCACCAGAAGAACTTGGTTGGCAAAGAGACGTCTAGCTTTTCCAATGGTTTAGCCTAGCGCCATTCCTAGATCCCCAAAAGAAGTTAGCCATCCGGGCATGAAGAAAGTTGATGATTGACGTCGGGATGGTGTGAACTGCCAGGGTATGTAAGGGGATTGATGATAGAACGTGTTTTATTAGAATAAGCCTTCCCATAAGGTTAAGTGTCTTGCTATACCACGAGAGTATGTGCTTGTCGAAGTGTGCAACAAGATGATCACAGTGCGGCTTCCTAAGTATACCCTTGCAGATGGTTGCACCAAGGTAACAAAAGGGAAGAGAACCTCCTTCCATTGCAAGGCTCTTGCTCATGTTGGCCAATTGAGAGACGGGGGAAGAGGTTTTGACATAAAAGTTACTCTTTGTGAAGTTGACTACCTGCCCCGAATCCAAGGAGTAATCTCCAAGAAGTTTCCTTAGCTTGAGAAGGTTGATAGTATCCCCTTTTGTGAAGATAATAATATCACCCGCGTAGGTATGATGGCCCGGCATCTTAACACTACCCAAATTAAAATGATGAATGTGGCCTTCTTCCAAACTTTTGTTGAGCATTCTTGAGAGACCTTCCCCTGCAATAATAAAGAGAAGAGGTGAAAGGGGATCACCTTGCTTGACACCCCTAGACATTGGAAAATAACCAGTAGGCTGCCCGTTAATAAGAACCAAGAGCATGGTGCCTTTAAGGTTGGCCAGGAAAAGACCAATGACTTGTCTGGAGAAGCTGAACTCCTTAAGAATAGCCTCAAGATAATCCCAACGAAGAGTGTCGAAGGCTTTGGCGATATCAATCTTAATGATCATGTTTCCACCGAACACTTTTCTGTCCAGGTTATGAGCTGCTTCGAGAGCTAGAAGGATATGATCAGGCATGCTTTTACCTTGTTGAAAGGCTGCCTGATTGGAGGAGATCAGCTTAGGCAGCAAGGGTTTGAGCCTGGTGTAGAGAATTTTGGTGTTGACCTTGCTCATGAACGTACTAAGGGAGATGGGCCGGTAGTCATGGAAGCGTTTGGGGATATCCTTCTTGGGGATACGGGAAATGAGAGTACTACCATAGGTTCTAGGAATGGGGAACCTAAGAAAAATTCTTGGGAGGCTTTGAGCATATCCTCTTTGATTATATCCCAACAAGAGCGGAAGAAAAGGCCATTGAAACCGTCCGGTCCCAAGGCGCTGCTGCTGTCCATGTCCCAAACTGCTTGCCGAACTTAGTCGAAGGAAGGAATTCTACTGAGAAGGGTATTGTCACTGTCCGTAACGAGGCAAGGGATTTGTGTGAGGGAGTGAAGAGGGTTGGGGGGAGAGGGCCTTAAACTGCTTAGTGAAGTGAGTAGTGGCTTCCAAGCAAATTTCTGTTTAAGTGGAGAGCCCTAAACCATCGTCCGAAATAATATGATTGATGGCAAGCTTCCTCCTTTTCCCATTTGCAAAGGCATGAAAGACCATGGAGTTGGAGTCCCCAGATTCTAGCCATCTTGCATTAGCTTTTTGCTTCCAATATGCCACCTCTTTTTGAGTAGCGAGTAGAAGCTTGGCGTTGGCCTCCCGAGCTAGTTCACGGTTGGCTTCGCCCGGTTGGATCTGGCTCATAGCGCTGCTGGGTTTGGGTTGCAAGCTCCTCTGCCATAGTTAGAGTAACTTCCATAAACTTTTGTTCCCTGCCTCTGATTAAGTTTGTTTGAACCTTGGTTCGGGCAACAATCTTTCCAATCATGTCTGCATAAATATTTATATGATTACTTACTGGATCAAATATTGATATATAAAAAATCCAGATTTGCAAAATGTACGAAAGTAATAAGATTATTTTTGAAAAAAAATGACAGGAATCGTTTTCAATTAAAATGTTGTAAGAAATAATACCTGAAGCAATTGGTTAGCTATTCCCATAATTGATCACATTTCTATTTCGTTATGCATTTGTGTACATGTTCTAAAGTGAGATCTGTCTCGATATTATTTGGGTCACTTGGCCATGGTATTCATAAAGTTTGAATTTTCGAAATGGTCATTTAGTGGTCTTTTGATTATCCTGTATTATTTGGGTCATTTGGCCATGGTATTCATAAAGTTAAATTCAAAATTATTCGGTGCAGTGCTTGGAAAAACAGAGCTACTATTTTAGGAAGAGTATCTAATGGCATAAGTCATTTGGTAGTTCATTGTATCACTACTGGATTTTTTTCGAAGGACAATAGGCAGTTTTTGGTAGCAATAAAACTGTTTCAACAATCAAAAAGATAGATTTAAACGCCTATTTATTTCGGCCACACATTATTTTAATAAAGAAGCTTAAGACTTAAAAAAATGTCGTAAGAAATAATACCAATCAGAAGTTGATCATTCAAACATGGTTGACTTTGAATAATTGGAAATGGCTTCAAGTTGAACATCATCCGGGGGAAATCACTCCGATTTAAAGTTTTCACTTCAGTGTTTTTGAAAAAACCCAAGAGCTTATCATTGGAAGCGGTTTTCAATCTTTGGTAGTTGTCATGAACAAACACATTTCGAATGGCGTAAACACCACCCTCAGTGATCTGGTTTTCAAACTTCTCTTTCTCCTTCCGACTAAGATGTGCGTGAATCTTAGTTCCCTAAAAAAAGTATACAATATGAGATTATGAGTTATACGTTGTAAAAAAACAAATGTAATAACTTGTGGAATACATTACATGCTCATTGTGAAAGATGATTTCCATAGAATCTCCACCTTTCGCCCACCTAGGAACGAAGTAAACCCGAATAGCCCTCAATATGAGAATCCAAGAATTCCGATTGTTGTTGAGTTCCGAAATTGGAGTGAACATTGTCATGGAACTCTTTTCAGAATTTTGAGCCATATTTATGGAATATACGAAATTTATAAAAACGCCAATTTAGTGAAGTGGTGTAGGTTATGATGGAAAGAGGTGTATATATAATATTTTGGAAATGAAGTAAGTTTAAGCACATTAAATGCTTGGATTGTGTAAATTTTATTATTTAATTGATTAGATGGAAAGCATTGATATGTCACTTTACCACATAAAGCATTATTACTTTACTTTATCAAGCCACGCACTCAGCCGTCTATTGCATCCCCATAAAGTAGCACCGCACCCCCAAACACTCTCAGCCGCATGCCCAAAGAAGAGCCGAAAAGTCGGCCCATGAACATCAGCCTAGTCCGGCCCAAGTGATGGAAGAGAAAATGGCGAGAACATTGTTCATAAGGTGCCCTTACCATTGTATATAGGAGGATGTACAAGGCTTGTAGCACGACTACGGCGGCCCAATACCACACATTATTTACTTTCTCCATCTCATACTCCCTCCGTCCCCAAATAAATTTCCCATTTTGTTTTTCTTTGCCCCAAAAAACTTCTCTTGTCTATTAAAAAATCACTTTTACCCCTTACTTTTTCATACCCTATCTATCACATCATACCTTTTTACTAATAATCTATCCATCACATCATACTTTTATCCAGCACATCAAGGGTATGTTTGGAAAGTCAACACCAAATATCCCTCCCTTAATTTCCCAAAAAGTCAATAAAGGATGTTTATTTAGGGACGGAGGGAGTATCTTTCTTTCCGGACAACGTCCAAAATCCATTTCTTTAATAATAATTTTATTTACAAATTATTGGTATATAAATAAAAAAATATAAATTACATCGTTCAAAACTAAATAAAAAATTCTACAAAATAATTTTTTATTTAATCAAATGATTCAAAATGTGCCACAAACACTTTGCTACAAAAAGTATTTATGGAAAAATTTGATGCCACAAGAACTCAATTTTTGTAGTGAATTATATTAATTACAAAATAGTATACTCTAATACTGCCCTCAAGTTAGAGCATGAATGTCAAAAGTGTCCAACTTGGATATGTTATTACGTAAAATATCTATAGTGCCCAGCTTGATCTTTAGTAATTTAATATGAACTCGTAATGGATAGGGAAGAACTTCAAACGTCTATGGGCTCCAGAAAATTGAGACGGGGAGGAGAGGGGTATGAAACGCAAGGTAGAGTCGTGTCATCTAGAGACGAGAAGGGATTATGGTTTTAAAATTGTTTATTGATTAATTATTCTAGTGGGATTGGATCTCTATTTATAAAAACCACATTGGGTTGTTCTCAATTAAGGTGGGGGCTCCCACTGATACTTTTGGATAGGAGACGTAAAGTTGAAACAAAAAATATTCCCATCTGGAGACCAATCTGTAATCAACCTACCTCTTCAGATATTAAAAAATATGAGACAAAGCCAAAAACAAGTGTAGTTGCTTCCCATGAAACCAGGTACTCTGTCTTGAAAATGTTAGCATGGCGAGACATCACGATTGCACTAGACAAAATTGAAATAAAAGATTGATGGTTGCCACCCCAGGCTTGGTCCGGTGCAATGTGTGTAATACCCCAATTCGTATAACCTAGAATTATAGGAATTAAGGTGAAATAAGGGCAATATTTTTAAAACTTTTCCCAAATCATTAAATAAAATTTATAAAACAAAACTTCAAAATACAACATATTAAATTCGGATTGATCCATTTATAAAATGTCGGAGATAGCGGAAGACTTAAATAATACAAATACAATGATGTGTGTCAAGCCCAAAACATCAAATGCAATACATGTGAAAATAATGCATGTCAACCTATCATCCTATCGTCTCTTCGTCCTCCGGGTAGTTCACATAATCTGTGCTTCAACCTACATGTAGACAAAGAGACTACACACTCAGCATAAAGCTGAGTGTTACGATAACGCGAGAGATCGATAACATATTTATACTTAAATATCATCCATCACATTGGTCACATAATTTTCAAGCTTGCATAGTAGATAGCACAAGATATAAGGTACACGTATACATAACAAGGAGATTCATTTTAGAAAGTTATCCAAATATAAATACCTTGACCTTGTCGTCAATGATGTTGGATATGAAGTGCAATATGTTTTGCAATACCACATACAAATTTGATAATTAAGATCGGCATAATTAGTTACAATGATGCAATTCCAAATGATTCATGATGCATGAGTTAGACTGCGCTGGGACTCCCTACCCTTCGGTGATCGTCCCAAGACGATGATGAGCTGAGGAAACCTTAGTGTCTTGGAAGAGACTAGAAATAATGGCTGGTAACTGAAAGCCTAGTTACCATGTACGTACATAAGCCTTCTGAATGAAACCCGTTGGACCCCGAAGGCTCTAGGACAGGCCCATTGAAGAGGCGCACTAGGCCTGACCCCCTCAGCGGTATAACATGGTGCGAATGAATCCTAGATCATGCATCTACAACATGTGTGACTTAATTCCATGAGATGAATGATTCCTATATCGTGCGTGACTTATGACCTCGAAGGCCTTATTTTGAAAACTAAGTAGTCTTGGTTTCTAATCCATATACCAACATTTCAATTTTTTATTCTTACCTTGAAAACACTTTGAGTTCGATCAGACCTTTCTCAAAGTTTAGCAGTACCTGATAATCAATTATCTAGTGGTGATAATCGATTATCAAAGTTCAGCAGCCCCTGATAATCGATTATCAAAGTTTAGCAGCACCTAATAATCGATTATCACTTGGTATTAATCGATTATCAAAGTTTAGCAGCCCCTGATAATTGATTATCACTTGGTGATAATCGATTATCAATGTTCAGTAGCCCCTGATAATCGATTATCACTTGGTGATAATCGATTATTACAGTTTAGTTGCCCCTGATAATCGATTATCACTTGGTGATAATCGATTATCAAAGTTCAGTAGCCCCTGATAATTGATTATCACTTGGTGATAATTAGGGGTGTAAACGAACCGAATCGAAGCGAATACCGATATATTTGAATTTGTATTTGTTTAATTTTTTCGAATACGAATTCGAATCCGAATATGAGACGAATTCAAAATAAGATTTGAATAAGTATTTGATTAATATTCGAATAGTTATCGAATCATAAACGAATATTTGAATAATCATACTATATACTCCCTCCGTCCCACTGTCTTTGTCCATTTACCTTTTGGCACACCATCCAATGCACTTCTTTAATCCATTTTATCTTGTAATTTGTATATTAAAAAATTATAGAAATTATATATTAATAATCTATATGTTAAGACAAATCAAACAAGATCACACATGACTATATTTAGGCTTACACATTGAGAGAATTTGATGAGTCAAAGTGCTTAGATGAACAGTTCCAAAGTCAAAAGTGGACAAAGACAGTGGGACAGAGGGAGTAATTTATATGATGGACCAACATCAATTTTAATTTAACTTACGATACTCTTTATACTATACTATATTCCGTATATAAAAACATTAATACATTTGCATCTTACACAAATTATATTTTATAAAATATAACTATTAAAAATCATATGCTTTTAATTTTCGTGTTACGTTAATTTATTGAATGTTTAGTATTTTAAATACACTTTATACTATATTACTTTGCCTGACTTTTGATGTTGAAAACATGGTCTGTGTATATATACATATATTCAAATATTCGAATATCATCCGAATCGAATATATCCCTATTTGTATTTGTATTTGATTAATATTCGAATCAAAAATAATATTTGAATTTGAATTTGTATTTGAATAACGCGAATTCGAATCATCATATTCGAATACAAATCGCGAATCGAATTTAAAATATTTGATTTGGTTACATCCCTAGTGATAATCGATTATCAAAGTTCAGCAGTACCTGATAGTAGATTATCAAAACTTTATAATCTATTATCACAGTATTTGGGTTCTACTCTGGTCTGTCAAATTACGTTCAACCTATTGAAAATTATAATGAGTGATGGATACCCGGGAATGGGGGTATCCAGCCCAGCAGGAGGACGGCCCAGCCCAACTGCGCCAAGGCCCAATTGGTGGGACCAAGACAAAAGACCAGCGAAGAGCGCCTCGGCGGTACCGTGCACTCGGCCCCGACAGGGTTGGTCATCCTCGGAGAAACCAAGGCCGGCCTTCCGTCCAGAGGTTTCCGACGACAGGTCAGGCGCTCGGCCTCGGCCTTGAGTAGCGACAGACAAGACCTAGACAAGGGAGCTGACTGAAGTCAGGGTCAAGGGGCCCACGATTAGACTCATGCCACGCCTCTGGCAGAGTTGCTATAGCCACCCTGCTTGTAACCTACTTTGTGTAGCAGTCCTAGGGTTAATTATGTGTTGGACGCCACCAGTGAACAACCCAATCTTAGTGGGCCCAGACCGTTGGATTACGGACCAACGGTCGGAACCCTAGCTGTAACTTGTATATAAACCTTTTCCCTTCTGAAGGGAGAGGGAAGGACGTTCTAAGTAATACTCTTACTAGTACAATACTATCCTCAGTTTACCTGACCCCATACATCGTGCACTCTTGAAGTAGTTCGATACTCTTTTGCCTAGTTACCTAGGCCCCCGGGTTCCATAACCCAACATTGGTGCTCTCATTGAGAGTGTTGAACATATCAAGCGTGCTCCAAAGAAAATGGTGGCGTCAAGAATAGTGACTAGGTCTTCTACCGCCGACGTCGGTGGTGGTCTCAAGATGACCGTCACGGCGTCGATCGGCGCGGGCCACGACGAACTGGACATCAGCCTCAATGACGTCGCCAGCCAGAATACCACTGATCTGCGTCACCGCATTCCCAGGCGGCGGACGATGAACGCTGGGGGGTCCCAGGCGCCAACCCAGCAGGTGCCCACCCAGGGCGCTGGCGTTCTAACTCAGCCTTCTCCCAATGGGCTTGTGCGTGGAGGAGGCATGGTGTTGCCCGGTGATTTTAACTCACCATTTTTCCAGTTTGGGGAGACCTCCGGTGCGAGGACCCCAGGTCCAGACCCTAGCGGTTTCTGGGACATGATGAGGGCAATGATGCTCAATCAGCCCATGACCGGTTTCTGCATGCCGGTCACGATGCTGCAGCCGACGTTCCAGCCTGACGGACGTCGTGAGGTCCAGCAGAACGTGGTGGAAAGTGCGGAACTTTTCGCCCAACACCTGAAGAATCTAATGGCGGACTTCTGCTTGAATCCTTCGCCCGAGGGACCTGAGAACAAGGAGTTTAGCCGATCCCAGCAGCGGGACAAGGGTAAGGGCCCGGAGCGCAGGGCCAACAAGAAGAAAGCTAGCCATCGGGACAAAGAGACGGCGAGCAAGCGCCGTGAACCCCCAAAGGAAGGACAAGGTGAGAGTGAGTCGCACGTATCTGTGTTCAGCCGGATGCGAGTGCCAGTCACAGAACGGCTGTATGGCCGACGGAATACCTTCCTGCAGAGCGAGGCGGGGAAGATCTGGATGCCTTGCGAGGAACAGTGTAACCGACACAGAGAGGTCCATCCAGAAAGGCCAAATTCCCGGGTCGAGTAACCCGTCCAACATCCGGTTCTAAGAGCGCTGCAAAGGACGCCCGTCGTGATGGACGTGGGCACGGGCAGATCTAGGGACGAACGCATCGATCTTCTCTTGCAAAGGCTGGAGGCCTTAGAAAAAAGGAGCGAGCCGGGGCAGGCGGCCGAACCCATGTTCAGACTCCGTTCTCCTTTTTCGGAAAGGATCTTAAGGGCACCACTGCCGAGCAGCTTCCTGATGCCCCCAATACCAAGGTATGACGAAACTACCGACCCATAGGAGCACTTCAACCGGTACCAAACCCTCATGAACGTGGTGACGTTCTCCGAGGAGGTTCTTTGCAGATCGTTTCCCGCCACTCTCGACGGGCTGGCATCTGAATGGTTCAATGAATTGCCTGAAGGGAAGATCGAGTCGTGGGAAGACTTGGCGCGAAGATTCCTGGTGCACTTTGCCGGCAACAGGAAGAAGAAACTGCATTTTTTACACCACTTGTCGGTCCGACAGAGACCCGACGAGCCACTGAGGGAATTCCTGGCAAGGTGGAAGCTGGAGACCACCAGGGTTTACGGAGCGGATGACAAAACCAGGCTATCCACTTTTCATCTGGTCTTACGATCGGGGGACTTCTCCAAGTGTCTGGCCTTGGAGAAGCCGAGGGAGTATTCCAACGCGCTGGCCATGGCGGAGGATGAAGCCGAGGCAGAGGAGTTGGAGGCAAATAAGAAGAAGGAAGAAGCAGGGAGGCTGGGTTCAATCGCGATGGCAGTGAGGCCTACACTGAGGAAGGTCACCATTGATGAGCGACCACATTTGCCAGTCGGAAACCGCTTCCGGAAGGGTAGGGACCCGCGCGACCGACGATCGCACGGAAAAGATGTATATGAAGAAGGGAGTGAGGAGTATGACCCGCGACTCCGCTTACTCATCTCATAAGCGCCATCCTGGATTTCGCCGAGAATCAGGGCTTGGTGGAGTATGACCCGCGATTCCCTCCGATTTGCACCGTCGGTGAGGGAGATCGAGAACCTAATCCAGAGCAGCTGGTCATGACACAGACGCGTGTAAGGTCCTCAAGAGGGAGATCGAGAACCTAATCCAGGCGGGATATTTGCGACAGTTCGTCAAAAAGAAGAGCACGTGGCGCAAGGACGACGGAAAGAAGAGCGGGGACAATCGAGGGAAGAAACCGGCGGGAACTCAGCAGAAGAAGAGGAAGGAGATAGGCCTGCTGAGCGACGAGGAAGAAGAGGACGACCCTAGACAGAAGAGGATCGAAGAGAGCCGGATGATCTACGGTGGTAACACCGGAGGGGATAATGCTGAACAAAGGAAAAAATGGGTACACTCGGCGTACGTCGGGGACGTTCGCAGTGCACCTGGACCGTCGAAGGTCGCAAAGACAGAGCCCCTCCTGTTGGTCCAAAGGACCTGCCTGAGATCCCATCACCCCACAGAGACGCCTTGGTCGTCAGGTGCGAGATCAACGAGGTGGTAATCCACCGATCCTACGTTGATAATGGGAGCTCAGTCAACATCATGTATGTGAAGACATTTGAGGAACTAGGGTTAAAGAAGGAACTCCTGAAGAGAGTAAGGACTCCCTTGTCCGGATTCACAGGAGACATCATTGACTCAGAAGGCCTGATCGAAGTGATGGTCACCTCTGGCGATGGAGAGCACAGGAAGACCATCCCGGCCGAATTCATGGTAGTGCGACTCCTGGGATCCCACAATCTGATTTTGGGTCGGCCTGCACTGGAAGATCTCGATTCCGTAACGTTGGTGAAGTATCTAAGCATGAAATTCCCTACCGATTCGGGAATAGGAGTGTGCCGAGGAAACCAGAACCTCGCCCGACTCTGCTACCAGAAGCAAACAAAGAAGATGGACGCCCAGGATCTTAGAGTGGACAGTATTGCCACAGCACTTTTGAAGGAGGAAGAAGGCCGTCCTCGAGCTGAGCCAGCCGAGGATACAGAAGATGTGGTGATAATGGAGGAGCATCAGGAGAAGAAGATCAAGCTCGGTACTAACATCAGTTCCGAGCTTCGATCAAAGATCATACAGGTACTCAGGGAGAACTTCGTGGTGTTTGCATGGAGTGTCGAGGATATGCCGGGAGTTAGCAAATCCCTGATCACCCACCGCCTCGCGATCGAAGCAGACGCGGAGCCCAGCAAAAAAGGCGACACTTAAGCAAAGACCGGAGGGATTTCGTGAAGAAGGAGGTGGACATGCTCCAAGCAGCGGGGCATGTCAAGGAGATTAAATACCCCACCTGGCTGGCCAACGCCGTGCTGGCATCGAAGGGGCAGACATTCAGGATGTGTGTGGATTACACTGACCTGAATCGAGCTTCTCCTATGGACCCTTTCCCTTTGCCCAACATTGATAAAATGATCGATGAAACGGCCGGGTGCGAGGTCATGTCTTTCATGGATGCATTCAGAGGATATCACCAAGTGTTCATGCACGAGGAAGATGCCGAGAAGACGGTGTTCCTCACCCCGGAGGGGGGTATTGCTATTTGATGATGGCATTTGGGCTAAAGAACAGTGGAGCCACGTATACAAGGATGGTCAGCCGAGTGTTCCACTCGGTCTTAGGAAAGACGATGTCAGCATATGTGGACGACATGATCGTCAAGAGCAAGAAGGCTTCCGACCATGCGGAGGACCTATCCCAGGTTTTTTCTATTATGCGCAAGTTCAATTTACGTCTTAACCCCAAAAAATGTACGTTTGGTGTAGAAGGTGGCAAGTTCTTGGGTTATCTCCGAGCCGACGAGGTATTGAGCCCAACCCCGAGAAGGTCAAAGCGATCCTAGATATGGAGGCCCCCCGCTCCATAAAAGAAGTACAGCGCCTGACGGGAAAGATGGCCGCACTCGGCCGATTTTATCAAAATCCGCCGAGAAGAGTATCCCTTTCTTCGGCACACTGAAGAAGGTTCCACAATTCCAGTGGACACCCGAGTTCCAGGTGGCATTCGAAGAGCTGAAGAAGTATTTATTAACACCGCAAGTGCTAGCAAAGCCGATCAAGGGCGAGAAGCTGTACCTTTACTTGGGCGTCAGCCCTGGGGCCATAAGTTCCGTTTTGTTACGGGAAGAAGGGGATGCTCAGCGCCCCATCTATTATGTTAGCAGAACCTTGAGGGATGCCGAGCTCAGATACTCGGTGGTGGAAAAAACAATCTTGGCCGTCGTCAACACGGTCAAAAAGCTGAACCATTACTTCCAAGCCCACAAAGTGGAAGTGAGGAGTCATCAGCCTCTGAGCATCATCATCAGAAATCCGACGCCCTCTAACAATGTCATCAAGTGGTCTGTCTATCTGAGTCAGTATCAGATACAGATGAAGCCGAGAGCAGCAATCAAAGCCCAGGCCTTGGCCAATTTCATGGTGGAATGTACGGCACGTGACAACAACCCCATACCAACGGCCAAGGAGGGAGAGTGGTGGACTTTGTCTACTGATGGATCATTAGCTGGAAAGGCTTGCGGTGGGGGCGTGGTAATCCAATCACCTGAAGGATTCCGCTCCTATCATGCAATAAAATTCCAATTCAAAGTGTCCAACAACGAAGCCGAGTATGAGGCGTTGCTGAGTGGCCTGAGGCTCATCCTCAACCTGAAGGCTGAGTACGTCAGGATCAGGTGCGATTCGCGCCTGGTCGTTAGTCAGATCAAAGGAGCGTTCGACACCAAGGAGGAAAGAATGCGTCTATACAAGGAAGCGGCCCTGGAATTGCTCAAAATTCTTAAAGGATACGAGCTTGTACAGATCCCGAGGGCAGAAAACACTGAGGCCGATGTTCTATCCAAACTGAGCAACGACGACCCCGAGCACATCTCCAAGATGGCCCGTGTTGAGGACCTGGGATCTCTGAGCATTCACGTGCAGCTCGTTTCTATTATCACCGAGGAAGCCAACGGCTGGATCGCAGAATTGATCCGATACAAGAAGGATGGAATTCTCCCCGGAGATGAGACGACGGCCCGTTTGATCAAACGGAGGGCACCGTCATATGTCATTGAGAATGGCCGGCTATACAATAGATCATATAATGGCACATTGCTAAGGTGTGTTGATGAGGCCAGAGCGGGGCAGATCATGGAATAAGTCCACGAGGGAGTATGCGCGGCGCATCAAGGTCCTTTCTCAAGTGCGCCAAGCAATGCAAAGTGTGCCAAATATTCCAGAACATTCCGGGAAGACCGGGAACCAGCTATCATCCCATCAGCTCGTCGATCCCTTTTGCTCATTGGGGGATAGACCTGATAGGACTAATGCCGAGGGCACCTGGTAACTTCCGTTGGATCATTGTGGCCATCGATTACTTCACGAAGTGGATTGAGGCTAAGCCCTTAGTGGGAGGAACCTCAGAACAGTGCTCGAAATTTGTGAACAACAACATACTCTGCCGATATGGTGTTCCAAAGCAAATCACCACTGACAACGGAACCCAATTTGAAGCTGGGGATTTCAATGAACTTTTGGGAGATTGGAAGATAAGGCACACCTACAGCTCTGTGGCTTACCCGCAGGGGAACGGCCAAGTCGAGAATGCCAATCGAACAATCATGGACGGGATCAAGAAGAGGCTTGAGTCCTACAAGGGAGCGTGGGTAGACCAACTCCCCAACGTGCTGTGGGCATACCGTACCACTCCGAGGAGGGCAACTGAAGAAACGCCGTTTTCCATGTGCTACGGCCTGGAAGCGAGAGCGCCCTCGGAGGTGTTCATCCCAACATGGAGAGAAGAGAATTATGAAGCCAAGGAGAACGAGGAGACCATGGCAGCCGATCTCAATTTCATTGAAGAGCGCCGGGAGTGAGCTTTTCTAAAAGCAGAGAACTACCGAAGGCAAGTCAAAGAATATTACGACCGCAAGGTCAGAGCTAGGGAATTCCGAGTAGGGGACTTGGTACTCAGGAAAAGGGAAGCCAGCCAGCCTACAGAAGGGGAAAAGTTTTCCAAAAGCTACGAAGGACCATACAAGGTCACAGCTGTGCTCAAGCCAGGCACCTACAAGCTCTCCACGCTTGAAGGTCGCGAACTCAGCAGGCACTGGAACACGCACAATATTATTTCTTTCTACATGTAAGGCGCTGAGAACCGTAACCAGTCGGCCTCGGTAGCTATAAAACAAAACTCTTCTACTTAATGAAATACTCGCTTCCACGCGAATTCTGTTTTTTGCTTTACGCAATTTAAAGACGCTGCTTAGCGCTATCGGGCTCCCACGCCACGATTTTATGGCCTCACGTGGTCTTTCGCTTTACGCGAACTAAGTCCCTTTGTGCTCCCACACACGTCCCAAGAAACAAATTTTAACCATCTCGCCACTCGGGAATGCCTGTTACCGAGTGTCCCTTCAGGGGGGGAGCCCATCCGCACGGCATAACCCGGGGAATCGGCGCTCTGAACGAGACGAAGAACAAGGTCCGAATGGGCACAACTTGTTAATAGAACAAAGGGCAGCGCAAGGTCCTGCTTAGGACAAAAAACTTGCAATCCTGCTTAGGATGTCTTCCACGACCCCTAGTCCTGCTGAGGACACACCTCTCGCCGCCCTACTGAGGGTGTGAGCGCAAAAGAACCCTTTGGGGTACAAAAAAAAACAAAAAAAAAAGAGAGAGCAAACAAGCAAGGGAGCAACACATCGTACTTATAATCAAAACAAGGCATTTATCACAAAGGCATTCATTGCGCACAAAGTCAAACTCCATTACAAAGGTATTCCCGAAAGTTACAGCATTTATTACAAACCCTACACGCTACAGTTGCGGCACCGACAACATTTATTACACAACGGAACTGAGAAAGGAAAAGAACAGATAGCTCCACGTCCCAATGGATCTCCTTTTTTGCCTGGTCCGAAAGTCCATTGGTAGGTAGATGCACCCCGTCCTAAGGCCCCATTGACTTCTAGACGAATAAAGGGCGGGCGCCGAAGGACGTGGATGGCCCCCCCGATTCTGCAAACCTCCATCGGCAAGTATGCAGAGAAGGGGCATGGAAGAGATATCTAGGAAGAGCCAACAGACTCTTCCGGGTGATTATCACCCGTGGGGTTGGCATCAGCAACCGGCTGAGCGGGCTCAACCGGAGACGCTGCCTGTTGAGGAACTCCGTGAAGATAACTCACGAGTCTTCGGAGACGTTTAATCCGCTTTTCCAGCTTCTTTGCACGATACCACCATGAGCTTATACGAGATTCGGCATCCTCCGGCGGAGGAGGAGGAAGGCGGCGGATGGTCTTCTGCTTGGAAGGCAGAGGACCGATCTCCCTGGACTTATCGGAAGCCATGAAAAGATTAACACAAGAGATGAAGAGATGAATTTCACGGTGCAAGGAGAAGGCCAATTTATAGGCCGACGAACGGAGGGTTAAGGGAGTTAAACAGTTGCAGTGGTTAGAAGTGGGACTGTTTAACTGTGACACGTGTTTGGCACAATGCGACGGTCCAGTGGTTAGGTCTGTTTGCGTGGGGAAACCAAAGAGTCAGTTTCTCAAAAGACGCAATTCAAATTTATTCAAATAAACAATGTCAGAAGTCTACTCAACTATTCACGCATGCAGCGAAACAATAATAAAATCTTTGTTACACTGAAGAATAAAATTGCAAGCATTACAAGGAAAACGTTAAGGAAGGGCATTTGAGGGTTGTTCGTCGCCGGCATCATCTACACCCGTGTCCTCGCGCTCAGGCGTCCCAAGGTAGTCTAGGTTCTCCCCGAGCTCGGCGTTCAAGTTGGGATCATGCATCTATGGAATGTCGACCCCGGGCAGAGGGAAGGATGGATCTACTCTTCGGGTCCGGCGAAGGACGAGCTGAATCACGTGATAGACGCCGCTCTCAAACCACTTCGTCCCTTCCACCCCCATCTTTTCAGTACCGGCCTCGGTCCCAAGCCAATCTTCGTAATAGGCAGCCATCCTCTCGAGGCAGGCTTCTTTGAAGGATGGGGACTGGAGGAAGTTAGAGATGGCACGCTCCTTCTCGGCAACAGCTTGTTCCCTCTCGGAAAAAGACTGATCCCGCTCAGCTTCCATAGATCGCTGCGAGGAGACAGCCTCGGCCAACTCAACGTCCAGCTCTGAAATTCGGCCCTCGGATTGGCGCAACCGCCCCTCAAGCTCGGCCATCGAAGCCGTCAATTGGGAGGCCGATTCCTCGGACTCTTTCAGAAGGCCCTGTAGCCGGACCACTTCCTCGGACTTTGCCACGGCTTGCATTTCAAGCTCAACAGCCTGTTCATGCTCGGTTTGCGCCAATTTCCTTAAGCGAGACAACTCCGTCTCCACCGAGGCCAAGAAATCCACGCCTGAGGAGATTTCAGCCCCCGCTCGGCGTTTGCTGATCAAGCTCAGTTTCGCCGATACCTGAGAGAGATCAAGTCAGTCGTCTTTGGGGTACAAAAACAAAAAAAAGAGTTAAGGTACCAGAAGGACTAACCTTTTTGTGGAATCCATCCACCAGCCCTTGCAAGGACGAGAGGATCTCGTCCTCGTCCTTCAACAACGCGGACAGGGATGCGGCCTCGGCCTCGGCATTTACATCCCCATCAACCTTGTCAAAGGAAGTGGGACGCTTCCCATCCTGAGGACCAGTCGGATGTTTGCTCAACGGACCTTGGCTCGGAACAGTATCCGGCTCGGACGCGGTATCTTCATCCTCGACTTGGATAACTTTCCTCTTTCTGAGGTTCGTGGTCGGAACCGTCTCCAAGTTCGGGATGGAAGCAGCAGATCCAGTTGCATCCTCGGACGGTGGTTTTTGTTGGACCCCTTCTCCTCTACTGCGATTGCGGGCCAACAGCTTGGCCTTGCGGATAACATCCACCAGATTCATATCTCTTGCCGAAACAAAACAACAGTTAGAAGACACCAAACTGGAAAAACCTTGATGTCAGGGACAGACCTCCAGAAGGCTCCATACCAGAAACCCCCTCGGAGTAGGATGGCTGCCCTGATTCTTCGTCGGTTTCGGCCTCCCCGTCATCTTCCTCTCCGTTGTCCTCCGATTCTAGATCTTCCGACCTCGAGGCGCTCTCCTCAAGCCCATACTTCGGATGACTCCCAAGCACGGCTTCGGATAGCTCAAACTGACGCTCGAAGGAAATAAGGATCCCCACCTCCGCTAAATTCTGCTCCGTACACACCTTGTACACATGGGGTGGTTTAGGACGGCAATCCTCCAACAGTTTTTGCGCGTGTGCCAGAAGCTCGGGAGTGGCCTCAGGACGAGGATGACGGATAAACGCGTGACAGTCGGGGAACCTGGCTTGGAAAGGGTGCCGGTCCCCAGGAAAGCCAGAAATGAAGACAAACTTGGCTTTCCAAAGTTTCAAGGATGAGGGGAAGACGGCCATACCACAGTCGGCCTGGGAAGAAATGACAGCATACGAATTCCCTTCATGGGCCCCCACTTTGGAAACCTTGAACATGTAATGGAACAAATCCAGATACCAGGGGACTCCCCTCTGGTGACATGTAATCAGGAAGATTGAAAAAAAATAGTAGGAGTGGGGACTGAGCTGACCCGGCAGAAGACGGTAGAAATTCAGAAATTGGACTATCAAATCGTGAGGAGGGAAGCGAAGGCCGTAGCGCATGGACGCCACGTGCACCCCGACCTCGGCGTCGGGACAGGTCACCGAGAAGACATGGTTGGTGGTATGCGGTCGGCGCACCACGTAACCGTCTCCTACGAAGCGGAGAGCCTCGTCAAAGTCAACATCCAACAGAAGACAACCCGTATTTGTAATCGGACCCGTTTCCAGCACGGTAACGGGTAGGGATTTCAGATTCTTCCCCTGGACAACTTTCGGTATCTTCTTCCTCTTTTTCAAGGGCGACGCCTGAGACGACGATGCCACGGTGACGGATGTACGGAGAGGCACCGCACTAAGAACCATAGAATGATCAATTCCTCCCATCAAGCCGTCGGGGCGGAGGGAGGGATTTTGACGGTACATTTCCTCAAAACAAACCGCCGTTGGGTCGACAGCGGGGGTGGAAGGATTGGAATCAGAAGACGTCATGAGAACGGGGAAGAGTGAACTAACCTTCAGGTAGGGCTGCGGCGACGACGGCGAAGTTAACGGAGACGGTGAGCGAAATCAATGGCAAAGCTTCGGCGCAAAAATGGCAAAAGTGGAGAAGATTGGGAAAATTCTCAATTTTATACGTTAAGGGGACCCGACCCGACTCAATGAAAAGGCACGATTACAAAGAGACGTGGCGCTTCCTTACGCGTACGATCACGAATCATCATGAACGGCTGGACAAAGGAACAGTACAGAGACGTTGCGTCTCCCTAGCAGCACAATCATGCTTCTCCGAAGCCGAGGTTGACACGTAGATCTTGCCAGTTGGGGCACTCCCCAACCCTCGTCACTACTCAAGTTGGACAGTGGGGGACTCCTACACATGGCCAAGATTTTCAAAACTAAAATTCAAAATCGCAACTTTTTGGATTACTTCCCTCGGCTTCGCTACGCTCGGCCGAGGAAGTAGGGGACTCATGATGGATACCCGGGAATGGGGGTATCCAGCCCAGTAGGAGGACGGCCCAGCCCAACTGCGCCAAGGCCCACTTGACGGGACCAAGACAAAAGACCAGCGAAGAGCGCCTCGGTGGTACCGTGCACTCGGCCCCGGCAGGGTTGGTCATCCTCGGAGCAACCAAGGACGACCTTCCGTCCAGAGGTTTCTGACGACAGGTCAGGCGCTCGGATTCGGCCCTGAGCAGCCTAGACAAGGGAGCTGACTGAAGTCAGGGTCAAGGGGCCCACGATTAGACTCATGCCACGCCTCTGGCAGAGTTGCTATAGCCACCCTGCTTGTAACCTACTTTGTGTAGCAGTCCTAGGGTTAATTATGTGGTTGGACGCCGGTCGGAACCCTAGCTGGATTACGGACCAACGGTCGGAACCCTAGTTGTAACTTGTATATAAACCTTTTCCCTTCTGAAGGGAGAGGGAGGGACATTCTAAGTGATACTCTTACTAGTACAATACTATCCTCAGTTTACCTGACCCCATACTTCGTGCACTCTTGAAGTAGTTCGATACTCTTTCGCCTAGTTACCTAGGCTCCCGGGTTCCATAACCCAACAATGAGCATTTAAGATTTACAAATATATATATCTACATATGTATTGCCTACTCGTTCCAACAATTTTCTAGATGATTTCTTTTTACGAGTTTCATACCATATATCTTTATAACGAGAAAACTACGATCATACGGATTCAACGTAGATTATCCCAAGTAGTTGAGCATATAGAATAAAAAATACACATTTGATCATACATGTAAAACACATATATTTGGGCATGGATTTACGTGTTCATGTAATCGTCTAAATGTAGCCTAGGTGTTTCCCAACTTATTCATTCACATGTCAAATTTATACACCTATACGTATCAAATGATGCTATTACAATATCCAATGGTATTTTCTCTAGCCTAACCATATTCTTCATAGCCTAATCATTCTTTAATTTCAAAAAGTCATATTGTTTACGATTGAGTCAAACCATCTATTTAGCCTTGGTGTAATCACTCAATTCCATAACACTTTCTAACCCTCGTTGTTCTCTTACGGAACTTAAAGAGATCAAGACACAACATGACATAGATTTAAACATACATAATCATATAAACAACAAACGTATTTTCATATAAAAATATTAAAGATTCCTCCGTTATATCTAGGGTGTACATACTCGAATACGACATAACGTTTGAAGGAACCGAATGAATCAACAACGTCAACAAACGGTCGTCAAACTATTGACCTTCCGACTTCCAAACGGCTTCTTGAGTTTCGATTTCTTCTCGCGAATATGTTACATGGGCTGTGGTTAGTCGCCACGCACCCAACGAATAGTGGATTGGATGAGACAGAACGAGAATGAAGACGCAAGTTGCAAACCTCGCGTTTTCCGTCGCCACTGGACAAGTATTGGTAAAATGGCTGTATTGCCTTCGTTACTCGTCCAATTGACGAACAGTTTGCAACTGTGGCTCACCGACTCGCAGGGCTACAACTTTGGTCAAGAAACCATGACCAAAAAGTGAGTTTATGTTGGTCTAAATACTACCCAAAGTGGACTGATGGGATTTGTTATCCAAAAATCAGCACCTCCTTCCTCTTCTTCCTCTTCTTCTCCTCCGTCAGCCTTCTTCCTTGGTGTTGCTGCTGTATTTCCGGCAAGACCGGGACAAGGATTAGAGGTAGAGGGAAAGGTCAGTATTAATGGGTTGAGAGTTACAAGAGGTGAAGGAAATTGATACGGGGGTTGTCCTCGATCATACCGACCCAACAAATCGTTCGGTTCCGCAACGCGTTCGGCCAAAGCAGTCCATTCGGGCCCCTAAACATTATTCAGATTATATTTAATTCTTTCCTATTTGTATTTATTGTAATTTAGATTTTCTTAGGTGAGCAAAATATAAGCTCCTTCGAGGGTTTCTTTACGGTTCTTTGCCTCGTTGCTTTTCTTGAACCGACAAGATAGATAACCTAGTTCAAGTAGGATTGGGAGAAACTAATTGTTATTTAAAGGGTTTTGAACTCTTTCAACAACTCAAGTAATAAGAAAACTCTCCTCTCTCCCTTATTCTCTCTCGCTCTCACGTATCCTCCCTCCAAAAACCCTAGTCGCGCACAACCTCTGTGCCACGGCCAGTTCTCCCTTCCCCCTTGTAGGTATCAAATTGGTGCTCTCATTTTTTGTTCTCAGGGCTTCCTCCGACAGTCCAACCTCTCTGTTAACGCTGGAAGATATCATGCACACCATAACCGATATACAGAAGGACTTGCATGCAACGAAAGCACGGGTGACCGAGCTCGCTATTGCCAAGGTAGACGATCCCTCCGACAACCACCGTTCTCCATTCATGTGGTGGCGTCCTCCGTCTTCCCGCACTACCTCCAACAGTGCCGATCCAGTGCCGTGCATGCGTGTAGATGCTCCTCGTTTCTCGGGCGACGATCCTACGGCCTGGATTTTCAGGATCCAAAAGTACTTTGACTACTCTCTTACGCTAGAAGCAGAGCGCCTCCAATTGGTCTCCATGTTGATCAATCACCCGACCTCCGATTGGTTCCATTACTATCAATCCAACACCTACGACGCTTCATGGGCAGATTTTTTGGTGGCAGTGCAACCGCGTTTTGATCCGCATTATTATGAAAACTACATCGGATTATTGTCTAAATTGACTCAAACTTCGTCCGTGTTGGACTATCAAACGTCCTTAGAGTCTTTGCTTAATAAAGTTTCAGGCGTTCCGGAAGCAATGTTGATATCCATGTTTGTGGCCGGCTCTGAGCAACCCATTCAACGAGAGATAAATCTTCGTAACCCCACCACGTTGCAATCTACTTTTGCTTTGGCCCGCGAATTGGCCGCCTGTCATCAAGAAGCCGCAACGGCGTTTGGTTCCCCTGCCCACATGCCCTGGTCCAATCTGCCACCACCCACAGGAGCGGCTGGCATCCTCTCTACTCCAAAGTCGGGTGTTCGGCCCAACCCTACAGAGGTCTGAGAGCCCAACCGTTCCTCTACATCGTCGTTACATGTGGTCGCCATTTTGGCAGCCGAGAAAGCCAAACGTAGCAAAAAAGGGCTTTGTTGGTATTGTAATGAGAAGTGAGATTGTTCCCATAATTGCCGACGCCGTTTCTTGGCGCTCATGGTCCGGATGATGATGAGCCGTCCCTTGATGCTAATGAACCCACGGATCAGGCCGACTTCACTCCCGTTATCACTAGCGACGTCTCGAGCATCCATTCAATGTCTGGCATCCCGAGTCCACGTTCTCTAAAATTGGTCAGCTCCGTGCATGGTACAGCTGTCCAGGTTCTTTTGGACAGTGGGAGTACCCACAACTTCATCCATCCCGGGGTGGCCAAACTTCTCGCCCTGGTCCTTCATCCCGTCCCACCCTTCTTCGTCTACGTCGGTAATGGTGACTCCCTTCGCTACTCTTACAGTTGTCCGCAAACACCGTTATCTCTCTAGGGCCATCTCTTTGAAATTGATTTGTTCATGTTGGAAGTTCATGGTCCCGATATTGTCCTCGGCATTCAATGGTTGCAAACTTTGGGTAAAGTGACACATGATTATGCTAAATTAACCATGGAATTTAGTTGGAATCGCGACTCGCTAGGGCCACGTTCGGTATCCTACAATCAGTTGAGCACATTCCTTGCCACACCCAAGCCAGTCAACTTATATAAAGTGGTGGGCACCACTGTTGAGTTGCCGCAGGTCACTGCCGAGGAACAACCGTTCCCTCCTGACCTACCAGACCCCATCCAAGACTTGCTTACTCATCATGCACCGGTGTTCGGGACACAAAACGGAATCCCACCGGCACGTTATTGGGATCATCGTATTCACCTCACGCCGGGTACTCGTCCAATCAACGTCCGACCCTATCATTACCCATACTTTCAAAAGGCGGAGATAGAATGACAGGTCCGGGACATGCTTCAACAGGGCATCATTCGCCTAAGCCAGAGCCCTTTTTCTTCTCTGGTATTACTCGTCTGTAAAAAGGACGATACTTTCAGATTTTGCATGGACTATCGCGCCCTCAACATAGCTACAATGCTGGATCACTTTCCCATCCCGAGTTTGGATGAATTATTTGACGAGCTGGGGTCAGCTCGCGTGTTTACCAAACTGGATATCTGGTTAGGCTGTCACCAGATCTGCATGCATGCGGACGACATTTTCAAAACCACCTTTCGGACACATGATGGTCACTACGAGTTCCTGGTCATGCCCTTCGGTCTCACTAATGCACCATCAACATTGCAGGCCGCAATGAACAGTTTGTTTAGGGAATACTTGCGCCAGTTTGTAATTGTCTTTTTCAATGACATCCTGGTCTATAGCCCCACTATCGAGGCGCACGTACATCACTTGGCCACCGTATTTGAGACACTTCACCACCACTCCTTTTTTATTAAGCTTCCGAAGTGCTCTTTTTGCCAAGCTCAAATCGGTTACTTGGGACATCTCAAAGAGGCAAGAGAATTGAAACTCGACCCGGATAAAATTTCCGCCATGGCAGCCTGGCCGAAACCAACCACCGTCACCTAGCTTCGGGCCTTTCTCAGTTTGACAAGTTATTACCGTAGGTTCGTCTTCGGGTATGCCATCTTAGCCGCCCCATTGACCGACCCTCCTTAAGAAGAATAGCTTCTAGTGGGACGCCAAAGCTGATGATAGTTTTGCAGCTTTGAAACGAGCAATGACCACGGCTCCAATGCTACGTCTCCCGGATTTCTCACAAGACTTTTATTTGGAGACTGATGCCACAAATTTTGGGGTGGGCGCTGTATTACTCGAGCACGAACATCGGCTGGCCTTTTTTAGTAAGAAATTGGGGCCCCGACGACGTATGGCATCCACGTACCACAAGGAATTATATGCAATTGTTGAAGCGGTTCGAAAGTGGCGCCAATACTTGCTCGGCCATGAATTTGTGATTCGAAGTGACCAGCAGAGTCTCAAGGAACTCCTTATCCAGGTCATACAGACTCTGGACAAACAATTTTACATCTGAAAACTAATGGGGTATAAGTTCCGTATTGAATACAAGTCGGGGGCATCGAACCGTGCCGCCGATGCACTATCCCGTCGTGAAGATGACGCCGAGGTAGCAGCCATGTTCTTGACTTATGCACGGCCCCTACCCAAGCTACTGGAGGCCGTCGCTGCTGAGAACACAATGGACCCCGAACTCCGCCAACTTCATGAAGTCGTGGCGACGGGGACAACAAAACCGGGTTTTACAGTGCATTCCGGCATCCTCTACTATCACCACCGTCTGGTCCTGACCTCATCCTCTCCTCTTCGCCCCAGCTACTGGCCAAGTACCACAGCTCCCCGATGGCCGGACATTAAGGTGTGGAGTGCACATTCCGCCGGCTCGTCACCACCTTTTATTGGCCCGCCATGCGCGTGGATGTTTGGCATTTTGTGGTAGCATGTTTGGCCTGTCAGGCAACCAAATACTCTACCCATAAGCCCGTGAGTCTCCTTCAGCCACTGCCAATTCTGGACCTCGTGTGGGAGTTCGCGTCCATGGACTTCATCACTGGCCTCCCACCATCAAGAGGGCTCTCGGCCACCCTTGTTGTCGTCGATCGTCTCACCAAGTATTCCCATTTTGGAGCCCTACCCAGTGACTTTGATGCACCTTGTGTGGCTCAACTCTTTATTGATATTGTCGTCAAACATCATGGGTTCCCTACCGATATTATCTCCGATCGCGACACGATCTTCATGAGCCTCTTTTGGAAAGAATTGATGCATCTTAGTGACATAACATTGAAGTTTAGTACTTCCTATCATCCACAGATGGATGGCCAGATGGAGGTCACCAATCAGAGTTTGGAACAGTATTTGCGGGCTTTTGTCCATGAACGGCCGACAAAGTGGTCCACCTTTTTATCTTGGGCTTAACTGGCATTGAATTGCAACACAAACGAGAGTATTGACATGTCTCCGTATCAATCCTTGTATAGCCTCCTGCCACCTTCCCTTTTCCCAACCATGTCCACTCGTTCGCGGGTTGCTTCGGTGGAGGATCTTTTGCGTGATCGTGTCGAGTTAATCACAGCTTTAAAGACTCATTTGGCCACCATGCGTCAACGAATGGTTAACCAGGTGAATGCTCATCACCAGGAGGTTTCTTATGCCGTCGGTGATTTGGTCTTTTTAAAGCTCCGACCGTATCGCCAACACTCTGTCGCGCGGCCACTCTCAACCAAGCTCTCTCGGCGGTTTCATGGGCCTTTTCCCATTTTGGAACGGGTCGGTCAGGTCGCTTACAGATTACAACTTCCTCTGGATTGCCGTATTCACAATGTCTTCCATGTTTCTCTCCTGCGCCCCTTTGTTCAAAATGGTGAGAATATCCCTCCGGTCTCCCTCCCAGCAGATTTCTATAAAGGCTGTCCGGTTTTGGTCCCTGTGAAGGCACTTGCGGCTCGGACCGTTTTGGTGGATGGTTTCCCGCAAGACCAGTGGCTGATTCGGTGGTTGGATGGCGGGCCGGAAAACAGTACGTGGGAACCTGTTGCCGACGTCCAATGCCATTTCCCAGCTCTCGGCCTTGAGGACAAGGCCGTTTCCGACCAGGGGGGTTCATACGGGGGTTGTCCTCGATCATACCGACCCAACAGATCGTTTTGGTTCCGCAACGCGTTTGTCCAAAGCGGTCCATTCGGGCCCCTAAATGTTATTCGGATTATATTTAATTCTTTCCTATTCTTATTTATTGTAATTTATATTTTCTTAGGTGAGCAAAATATAAGCTTCTTCGAGGGTTTCTTTTTGTTTCTTTACCTCGTTGATTTTCTTGAACCAACATGATAGATAACCTAGTTCAAGTAGGATTGGGAGAAACTAATTGTTATTTAAAGGGGGTTGAACTCTTTCAACAACTCAAGTAATAAAAAAACTCTGCTCTCTCCCTTATTCTCTCTCTCTCTCTCTCTCTCACATATCCTCCCCCCAAAAACCCTAGCCGCACACAACCTCTGTGCCACGGCCGGTTCTCCCTCCCCCCTTGTAGGTATCAGAAATGAAGGGGAGAGGGGGTGCGTATATATTGAGGTGAGTGTTAATGGGTTGTGCTGTATATAAATCCCCAAAGGATCATTTTGGGGATTTACTCCCTACATCCCAATTTACAATTTTGTTTCGATTTATGATGTCTGACTGAAACCATTTTCAATTTAATTTAATTGATTGAGGTGGAATGAAAAAATGAAATGAAATTGTGTACGTATTTAGATATTACATAAAATACTTCAAAATAATAGGTGACATGACCATGTTATTTTTTAAATTGGTAGCAAAAATACGTCAAAATATATAATTACAATTGGATTTTGTGAACAATATACATGCACTTTAATTTAAGACAGAGGGAGTAAAGAGTAGATTATTTAAGGATGGAGTTTATTGCATCAATACCCATTGTGATTTGGAAAATGAGCAATTTTAC